TTTGAAATGTAATTATTATGTGCAATTTTATGTAATTAAAAATTTTCGATGTGCAAGACTTTTGTCCAGGTAGTGTAAATTTACACTAGCTTCCAAAAAAAATGCATCACCTTTATGTTGATTGTTTAACTACGAATATTTTCGTGAGTAAAAGTTATACAACTATAAAAATGAACTCCATATGATATCTTCATTCATAAATTATTGTTATTTTTTATCTTGTTCTTAATGATGATTCATCTCATTCCATAAATGTCTAATCAGATTCAAGTGATAATTATAATGATCAGTTTTAATAGAGTTACTTTATTCCTTTTGAATCATACTTTTGTAGGATCTGCTATATGGTTCGAATCATTATCTTGTTGGAAAATGATACTTTAGTACAGTGTTGTCAGCTTTATATGTCCAATTGTAGTTACCCATAGTTTTAAAAAACCATCATCTATTATTTCATGATAAACCCACCATTCATAATATTATTAATACCAAATAATAAAACAATTTCATATTGTTATATTAGAATCCTGAACACTTAATAATAAGTCACTGGAAAATTTGAATAAAGTTTATATGTGAAAAGAGTTAAAAATTTCAAATAAAAAATGGTAAAGTGTAAAACCTTCAAATGCCTTTTGAGCTATTAGTTTACACGTATTTACACCAGATCATTTACTCATTTACTCATTTTGCAAATGATATCGAAATGATCTAAATCGTTTAGATAATTTGTCATGTGATTTATGATTTTAACCAATAGAGTTTCAGTGAGTTATTTTTATTCTTGTATTTCCTTTGCGCTTGGCAAGACAAATCCGACACAAAGAAAATAAAAAATACGGGAAACATACGTATGCTTAAATCTAGCTTGGAGCACTAATAAAAATATCAGAGTTAATTTTACATATAACCTTGATCTTTGTTCTAACCTTAACCCTACCAAAATGATAAAACAATCTTTTATTAAAACAGATCATGTGTTTTTCACTAAACTTCCCCCGGGGGGGGGGGTGAGAAAATTTTTATATTTCATCACAAAATATGATTGGATAAAAGTCAAATAACCTGTGGTGCATAGCATCTAAACTCATCAATAGATTTCTTAGTTATGAAGTTTATTGAAATTATAAAATACAATCTGTTGATGAGTATGGTTGTAATTGTTATGCACCATTATGGATTATTTGACTTTCAAAATTGATCATTTATCATTTGGGAAATTTGGATTATTTCAAGTCATTTATCAATACTGAATACATAAAATCAAGTTTTTTCATTAATCTTGAGTTATAAAATGGGTAAACTTCATATTATTTAAAAGTTTTTTTTCTAATAGTATTGTTAACTTTTATTGAAATTTGAATTTGTTAAATCGTATTAATTTATTTTATTGTTTTACATTCGGTTATAATATATTTAACAAACTTTTTATTATTTACAATAAAAAAATAATTTAACTTTTTAAGGCAAAAAAACGCCAATTAATAATGCAATCAATATAATACACACCCCTACAATATTATTACCGGAAATTTCAAAAATGAATTTATCCCTTTGGAACCCGATATCTCGACATTCAGTGATCCCATTCGAACAAAAATATTACCATTAGATTTTCTCGAGTATACAAAGCTAATGGTGATATTTTGTTCGAATTGGATCACTGGATGTCGAGATATCGGGTTCCAAAGGGATAAATTCATTTTTGAAATTTCCGGTAATAATATATTGAAGGGGTGTGTAAATACGTAACACGCAATAAAGTTTTCATTAAACAATAGCTTTCGACTAAGCTTACCAAAGAAATTTTATAATTACATGATTTTGCTTGCGAAGATATTTGTAATTAAATGATCAATATCAAAGTGGTGTGTTTCTTTTTGAAGCCAATGCAAATACATACCTTGAGTTTCTTTAACCTACAGGTAACTTATGTTTTTATAGTTTAATGAGCAATATCTAAAGAATGTAAAATCGAGAATCTAAAATTGAATTTTAGATGGAAATAATGTTTTACAACAGCTATAAAATGTTATCAGACAAAGTAAGGTACATGTATTACTTTTACTATACTGTATCATTCATGTCGATATCATATAATTACAAAATCTTCTAGAATTCGTAGAAATTTTCTTTATTTATACAGTAGTATGCTGGTTAGTTTTTTTTTTTAGCTATTTGCGTCTGCAAATTTTAGCCTCCTAGCAATCATAGTACATGTACTGTATTCGTAACAACACCCCCCACGGAGTTTCAAAACGTTTGATCGACAATGTTTTAATATACGTACGTAGATAAATATTGCATTCGATATACGTACGTACATACCTTGAACTAACTCAGACTGAACCATTACAATATTTATGCCACGGTTTCTTACATTAAAAACTTTATTGTTCGACATGCCTGATTTGTAAAAGGGAAGAAAATTCTAAATTGGTATTCTGATACCTGCGTATACGCATGCATTACGTCCGTTTTGTAAATTTGTATATACCGATACTGTATATATACTGCAATATAAAAACTATCCCAAAGAAAAACGGCTTTTGTTAGAAGCCTCAATTTTCGTATTTTATGATTCAATTTTACAAACACAGAGTGAAATTCTAGAATTCTAATAGATTTAGATAGACGAATTTCAATTTTCATTGTTCGTAAAAGAACATCACATCAAATAGATATAATTTTTCTAAAATGAATATTACAGCCATTCTCTTGTGTAAAGTTTCCTTTTGCTGGTTACTTTTATATGGAATTTTTATTAAAAATATTGTTTTTGATGGTCAACAAACACCAATAAAAATAACGAATCCATATCAGCAACGGTCTATAAAATCAAAGGACAACAATAATAATAAAAACAGCATTTATCACAGTTCAACCGTTAATATCAAAATTATTGTTGAGTAAGTGGATTTTTAATTTCAAACTTTTAAATAATATACTAATATTTTGTATTTAATAAAAAATTAGTAATACTTCGAAGAGTAAAAATAAACCAACAGCTGCATCATTATCATCAACTTCTCCAGAACAATTATTGACTAAGACAGCAAATTCACACATACAAATAAATTATCCTGCGCCAATTTCAAATACTATAATAAATGCAACCCCAGCAAAACAGTCACAGGCAACTACCCAAGTGACAAATATTAGTCATTCATCAAATGTAAACAATAATAATATCCCAAAAAACGCAACAATTGAAAATAATGAGACAACCATTACTGTAAAGTATGTATTGGACTAAATTTTTTTTTAACTTTAAAATCTCGAGTAAATATTAACTTTCCATGCTCATTTACATTTTAGTCACCCGTCATCAAATACAAACAGTCGGTCCACAACTCATACCAGGCAAGCACATATGACTTTTTACTAACAGTGAAATCTACCAAAAATTCGAAGGCTTATTTTTAATTTTTTGAAACAAAAAGTGCTCAGAGCCTTCCATATGATGACCCAAAAGGGGGTCCGTCCAAAATTATTACGGGTTCAGCAATTGCAACTTCCTCGATATCCAATGCTTCTTCGACAAGTAGTCATAGAAAAGGCGAATATATATTTATACGAAAATTCGCCTTAAAGCTTTATTCGGTATTTGTTGTCTTTTATTTTTTAATTTTATTAATCGAGTAAAGATCTTTTGATTGAAAATACATGTATACGTATCGATATTAGAATTACGTAATACATTTTGAAATTCTAACGCTAGATGAATTAATTACCGTAAAGCGCTCTGTATATTATCCCCCTCTTTAAAAATTTGAAGCACAATTTAGTCCAATTTTTTTTAGTAAATCCAATTTTTTTTTCGCAAATAATTAATTTAGATTTCACTATGCGATTTTATAAAAAATTTAGTTACTGGTTTAATAGCCTTGATGTTTAAATTTTCTACAAAGGGGGATACTATACAGAGCGCTTTACGGTAGTTCCTAATAATTTATAGTTGTCTAATAATTTCCAATAATTTTTAATAGTTGTCTAATAATTTTTAATAGTTGTCTAATAATTTCCAATAATTTTTAATAATTGTCGAATAATTTCCAATAATTTCGAATAATGAATTGTAAAATATCAAGCGTTTATTAAGACGCTAAAACTAATTTTTTATAAAAAGTTCAACAGCTACGTAAACAACAATTCTTGGTAGTTAACATATTGACCTTAATATAAACAAAAATCGAGTTTCTCGCTGAAAAGCAAATATATGTAATCTAAACAAAAAGAAAAAGAAAACAAAAAACTATCGCAACAGCTTGTTGTGGAACTTCTTATAATTACGATTAATCTCAAAGTGCAATAGGGATATTGATACCTGACATATCACTTATTTAACGAATTATGGCATTTTATAAGACTTATTGTACATGTATATGGTGCGCCCAGCTTAGTCACATAAAAGGCGTTGAAAATTTTACATATCATTACTTATACAATTGAATATGATTGGTCAGATTTATTATAAGTGTGATTATTTTTAAAAAAATGCATTATTTAAAATCGTATCTTCTCAATAATATATATATATATATATATATATGTAACTTTAAAATAAAATATATTCCATGATAGTAATTATCAAAAACTATTAAATGACATATTTTTTTACATTTAAAGTTCATATAAAGAATCCTTTGCAATTCAAAGTATTTGATGTGACTAAGCTGGACAACATATCTTAGTGATTATAAGACTTATATGCGATTTTATCAACTATATAATGCGTTTGGATTTTTGTGTGAAATCTGTCATATTTCGACATATTTTGTAAGTGATTATGAGATTTAAGCGAATGTATCGATTTATGGGAAAAGTCGAATATATATGCATTATGAATATGATGTTGAGCCAAATTGGCTTGATGTCACATAAATCATAAATTGTGAGTTTATTCATCTGGCTATTAATCATGATTATTGTTTCGTGATCATTCCATGATTGAAGTAAAAATAAATACGCAAAATTAACAATAATTTTTGATCATTTTTGATCAATTATGCATTTTATTTGGATGAAGAACTTGAAAATAATAAAGATTAAAACAATTAGTATTGAAATTTATTAAAGAAAAAAATCAAGAAGAAATTATATGAATGGAGTAGAGGAATGCTTTCACTTTATTGATGAAACAACTGATTATGTTTGGCTTGATGATCAAAGAATCTTCTAGAATAATTATTAACAATTGGCTTTTTTGCAAAAAACAAGAAAAATGACTCAAAATAATAAATATTTGTTTTTGCACTGCTTGTCTAATACTGTATCAAAATCAATATTATAAAGATTGCTAAATACTATCAGTTTTGAATAAAAATAAAATAATCAGTTCGATTTGTTTAATAAAGTCAAAAGATAAATATATGAATAATTTTTGATTTATTTTAAACTATTAGTACCAAAAAAATAAAATCTCTTGCTTTTTCTTCTGTCTTTGTTTAAGCTTTTCTTTTTACAACCAATTCCTCAAGTTTTTTTTATCAGCCTTATCAAAAATGATTTTAGAAATTATTTCAATTTAGATTAAGCAAGTTGCACATGCACAAATAAAAAATTCAGAAAAGATGTGGATGTGTTGACTAAAAAGAGTAAAAATTAAAAGCGTGTGTTTTTCAATAACATATAACATATAACTTAACACAAAATAAACTCGAGTTTTTTTTACAAAAATTCATGAAATCAATATTAAATTTGATTTATATTATTCAAAAAAAAACTTTTAATAATTTATCCTGGAAAAACAATAATAATTAATCTTGAAATTGTCATTGAATTTTTAATAAAAATCATAATATAATTAGTATTTAATTTTTTACTTGCAAAAAAAATAATAAATATTAAATATACTAATAATCTACAAATAATAATTCTTAGTTCAGTCTAATATTTTATCATAAATAGAATAATTAATTTAGGAATATTTTATAATTTTCTAAAAAAAGATTTAAAGTGATTTAAATTATTATGTAGAATGTTGATGATTTCAAAAAAAATCGTAACGAATACTTTTGCTAGATAGTATACAGTCACCAACAAAAATAATGGTTGCGAGATTATTATATAAATTTTACTATAATATTAAATAATATTTTTTATAGAAGCAAAATATATTTATTAATAATAATGTGAAATAGTTAATAGTTTTCTGAAAACTATTAATTACTTAGATTATACTGTTACAATAGTAACATGAAAATTATAAATTCAAAATAATTAAAAAACATGAAAATTCCAAAAATATTCATATAACAATAAAATCCTCTAGTATTATTTTACTTTTCATTATTTCACTTTTTATTATTTCACTTTTTATTTTTCACTTTTTATTTTTCACTTTTCAAAAATTTCATTTTTTATTTTTCACTTTTATATATATATTTTCACTTTTAGTTATTTCACTTTTTAATTTTTTACTTTTTATTTTTCACTTTT